TCTCTCCCCAAAGATAGGAGCACCCAGCCCCCCTTCATAGTTCTCAGATAGCATACTGAAGGGACAAAGGGAGCAACAGTAGACTAGCATGAGGTAGGAAAGAAGTGGAGGGGCAGAGGTGTGGTTAAGCCCAAGGAGGGATTTGTGGATCAAATCCAGGGCCTCACTCTCTCAAGTTAAGATCACCCTAGTCTTAAGGATGGGTGAGCTTCCAAACAAAAAAAAGGAGCTGGGGGCTGGGAGGTTGGCTCAGTGGTAGAGCGCTTGCCTTGCATGCCTGAAGCCCTGGGTTCGATTCCTCAGCACCACATACGCAAAAAGAAAAAAGCTGGAAGTGGTGCTGTGGCTCAAGTGGTAGAGCACTAGCCTTGAGCTGAAGAGCTGAAGGACAGCGCCCAGGCCCAGAGTTCAGGCCCCACAACCGGACCAAAAAAAAAAAAAGGAGCTGGGTACCAGTGGCTCATGCCTGTAATCCTAGCTACTCAGGAGGCTGAGATCTGAATATCAAAGCCCAAAGCCAACCTGTGAAGACAAACTGGAGCTGAAAATCTCTTACTACCAATTAACTAGCAAAAAGATGGAAGTGAAGCTGTGGCTCAAGGGATAGAATGTCACTTGAGAGAAAAAGCTAAACAAGGCCTGCACTGGAGCCCTCATTCCTGGCACACACACACAGAAAAGTCTTGAAACCTTTCACTGACTGTCCTCAAATTTGAGATCCTTCTGGCTCTACCTCCCAGTGGCTGTAGCTGAGATTATAGGCATGTACCACCACGCCCAGCTTAACTTCCTTAACCCTTCCCATCAGTAAAATGTTTGAGAACTTTCTAGTCCAATAAATGTGTGTGTGTGTGTGTGTATGATTTGCAAAATGTAAATGCACCAAGGTAATAACTTCTTTTTTTGTGTGGGGGGGTCCGGTCGTGGGGCCTGAACTCTGAGCCTGGGCGCTGTCCCTCAGCTCTTCAGCTCAAGGCTACCACTCTACCACTTGAGCCGCAGTGCCACTTTTATGGCCTTTTCTGCTTATGGAGTGCTGAGGAATGGAACCCAGGGCCTCAGGCATGCAAGGCAAGCGCTCTACGACTGAGCTACCTTCCCAGCCCAACATGGATGCTTTCTATGCCCCCAAAGACTGTCTTCAGAATAACTAGAAAGCTAGAAAGGGTCCAGGAGACTGTGGAAAGCAGATGACTCCTGAAACACATCAAAGAATTCTCTAGAACTTTCTAGCTCAGGACACCTAACACAACACTGGTTTTCTGTGGTGATTGTTGCTGGGGTAATTGCATAACTTTCTTAGGCTAATTAGGTGCTGAGTTCTGTTCCAGAAATACCACAGCAGTAACTAGTTTGCTTCTCAGGTTATCCCCAGGCTATGTGTGTATGTACTATGCCCAGGTGACAAAGGAAGGGGGGGGGGTGAAGTGACTGGCCCAAAGCCACAGAACACTCAGTCTGAAAAAGAATTATCAAAGCAAAAAGGACTCAAAGAATTATGCTGAACACACTCCTCCCTTAGGACAGTTGAGGAGAGAGGAAAGATTTTTGGTGACAATGAATGAACAAATGAATAACCAAAAGACACAGAGACAGAGACACATAGAAGACACATAAGGAAGGAAGAAAACAGAACTGAACCCTGAGCCTTTACCCCCGACCCTGAGCGGGGGGGGGGGGGGGGGGGGGGAATGGGTGTTCACACAGACACCCAAGACTCCCCACAGAACACCAGCCAGGACCACCCTTTAGAATGGGGGCGTGGCCTGGACGCCGTGGGCAGGATACGGGGAGTGGCTTTCTTTGGTGGGCGTGGTCGAGTGGGCGCGGCTTGCATGTGGCACGGCCCCTGCAGTGGGCGGGCATTGGGGCGGGGCCTCTGCAGCGGGGTGTGGCAGGCAAGCCTGTGGGGCGGGGCTTGGGTGTGGGCGGAGCCTTCCTAGTGGGGCCTTCTTAGTGGGGTAGCGCTTGCTGCTGGGCTTGGCCTTCTGCGGTGGGCGGGGCTAGAGGGCAGGGCGTCTAGGGATGGATCAGGGGCGAACTCCTCACCCGGGATCTTCGAGGTCAACGATGAATGTCGTGCAGATCTTCTTTCTGAAAATCTTAGGGATCCAGCTCTGGGGACCGGAACAAGCGGGGGGGGGGTTGGGGGAGGGAGGGTGCAGAAGACAGTTCAGACCTATGGGACACGAGACAGCAGCCCGACGCCCTCACCTGGACCCCAGCGTCCGGGACCCCAGCGCCCGCCTCTCACAGGCTGGGACGTCTGGATCCCCAGGACTGTCCTCCATCTCCAGGCGTCAGGGATCCCCCACCCGCCTCCTCCATCTGACTCCGGAGCCTGAGTCTCCAGAGCCTCCTCTCTGCGTACCAGAAGGGGGACCCCAGCTTCCCACTCCCTCTCACCCCCGGCGGGCGCGCGGGCGCGTTACCTGCTCCTTGTCCGCACCCACCATGCTGCCGCAGCCCGGCAGCCCGCCGGCCTCTCTGCGTCCCCTCCCCACTCCTCCACACCCGCCTGGCCAAACCGGATCCGCCACTTCCCAGCCCCGCCTGGGGCGGGAGCCCAGAAGACACGTCAGCGGGAGGCGGGGAAGGCCGGCCCGCCTGGATAAAGGGACAGACTGACTGACAGGCCTGGGCCTGCGACCCCAGGGCTCAGAAGCTGGGGTTTTGGGGACCAGACACTGGGAGGAAGGGAGACTCAGGCGACCAGGCTGAGAGGGGAACGGAGGGGCATCAGACACTCAGTAGGGGTCCCAGATATGAAGGAGGGGACACACTGACCCAAGACAAAAGGGGAGGGGCTGAGAAAGTGGCTCAGTGGTAGAATGTTTGCCTTGCATGCTTAAGGCCCTGGGTTCGATTCCTCAGCACCACATAAGCAGAAAAAGCCAGAAGGAGCACCGTGGCTCAAATGGTAGAGCACTAGCTTAGAGCGAAGAGCTGAGGAACAGTGCACTATACGACAAGAGAGAGAGAGAGAGATTGAAGTGCAGAGACTGGGAGCCGGGGTATAGATATCCAGAAAGAGGGGTACAGAGACCCAAAGAACAAGGGAAAGAGACTAAGGGTGGAAGAGACAGATTAGACTGAAAGATGGGGGGGCAGACACTTTAAAAATGGAGGGAACAGGGCTAGGAATATGGCTTAGTGATAGACTGCTTACCTAGTATGCATGAAGCCCTGGGTTTGATTCTTCAGTACCACATAAACAGAAAAAGCTTGAAGTGGCACTGTGGTTCAAGTGGTAGAATGCTAACCATGAGCAAAAGCTCAGGGGCAGTACCCAGGCACTGAGTTCAAGCCCCCAGGACTGGCATAAATAAATAAATATTGGAAGGAACAGAGTTGATGAAGAAGGGTCATTGACAGAGAGGGATACTGAGTCTTGGGTTGGGGCAGAGACCAGAGCATAAAAGACAGAGGTCAGGATGAGAGGGGGTCAGAATCCCATAAAGGGGTGAGTACTTGGTGGTTCACATTTGGCTCTTGCCTATAATCCCAGCTACAGGTGTGGGGGTGGAGGATGGGGTGGAGGGAGGCTGAGATCAGAGGATCATGGTTCAAAGCCAGTCTGGGCAGGAATTAATTCCTTTTCTTTTCTTTTCTTTTTCTTTTTCTGTCAGTCATGGAGCTTACTCTGAGTCTGGGTGCTGTCCCTCAGCTCTTCATCTCAAGGACAGCGCTTTTCCACTTGAGCCACAGCGCCACTTCCGGTTTTCTGATGGTTAAGTGGAGATAAGAGTCTCATGGACTTTGCTGCCTGGGCTGGCTTTGAACTGCGATCCTCAGATCTCAGCCTCCTGAGTAGCTAGGATGACAGGCATGAGCCACCAGCCCTCGGCTTTCCAACTAATTCTTATCTTCAATTAATCACCAAAAAGCTGGAAGTGGAGCTGTGACTCCAGTGGTAGAACATTAGCCTTGAACAAAAAAAAGCTGAAGAACAGGGGGTCCAGTCCCTGAATTCAAGCCCTAGGGCCAACACACACACACATACACATGCATGCGCACGCGCGCACACACACACACACACATACACACACACACACACACATACATACATTCCATCAAGGAGATACATGGCCCTTTAGAACAAAGGACAGAAATGGGGGCTCCATAAAGGGAGACAGAGTCCTAAAGAGTGAGGGCAATTATGACAGCTGAGGAGTAGGAGGGACTGACAGAGAGAAAGCAGACCACGTGCTCTCAGCCAACTCTGTCTGAGGGGAGCAGCTGGGGCCTCGGTAACCTGAGCCCCCTGCACCCTCCTCCCAGCTGTATTTATAGCCCTGGCCTGGCCATGTCCCCTACCCTCCAGATTTGAGGTCCAGGGACAGGAGGTCACAATGGAGGAGACAGGATTCCTTCATTTCATTCCAAGAGCTCCATATTGGTCTTTGGTCTTTCACCAAAGTATCTCCTTCAGGTGGAAGCACCCCATAATCATACATCTCCCCAATCCTTCCAATCGCCCTCTCTGATAGGTCCTTCCTGAAACACACTCCCCACTCCAAACTTCCCCAGGGTCTCAGCTTGGCCAGCTTCAAGTCTAGCTTTGGTCTTTGCAGCTGGCACACTTGAGCTTGCTGGCAGATCAAGTCCCTCTGTCCCCTCTTGTGGGCCAGGCGAGACCCCCTCTGCAGCCTTCCTCAGCAGCAGCAGCAGCAGCAGCAGGAGCAGGAGCAGGAGTGGGGGGTGGGGGGCAGCCGGGGAGTGACCCAAAATAACTCAGGGCTGAGAGTAAATTTAGCCCCACTGAGGGGAGGGGAGAGACCCTATTGGCCTGGGAGTGGGGAGGGAGGGCCCCCAGCGGAGAATCTGGGCTCCAGAAACAGCCTCAGAGGGGTGTCCAGGCCAGAGGAAGACAGACAGGCAGAGAGTGTGAAGGAGAGATACAAGGCAAAAGACTCAGACCCCAGAGGGGACAGGGACCCCAAGCTCATTGCGTAGCTGCGGAGGCCACTCTGGGAGAAGTTCTGCGATTCAACGTCCTCATGGGCCACCGTGGGCCCTGGCTGTACACCTCTGTCCTCTGGGCTCTGGTGGCCAGCCTGCTCCTCCCTCCTGCCATGACCCAGCAGCTGAGAGGGGCTGGGCTGGGCTTCAGCAACACCAACAACAATGCAGGAGTCCCCGGGCCTGCAGGGGACATGTCAGCTGAGTTTGGCCACCACCGCCACAGCCACAGGAGCCATCAAAGTGAGGAGAAAGAGGAAGAAGTGGCCACTGAAAATGCACATCATTTCCGGAGCCACAGAGACCCTGGGGAGGAGGAAGAGGAGGAGGCGGAGGAGGAAGATAGCTCCAGGGAATATGGCCACCAAATGCAAGGCCACAGATACCAAGGCCATGAAGATGGAGAGGAGAATGTGTCCCAGGAGGTCTTCACTGAGCATGCCCGGCCGATCACTCAGCACAGAAGCCAGAGCAAGGAAGATTTGGGAGACTCCACTGAGCACAGAGACCACTTTCCCAGCCACAGGAGCTACAGCCACAAAGATGAGGAGGACGAGGAGGACATTGTCTCCAGTGAGCATCACCGTCACATCCCCAGGCATGTCCACCAAGGCCATGGAGGGGGAGATGATGATGATGATGAAGGGGAGGGGGAGGAGGAGGTCTCCTCTGAGTATAGGCACCAGGCCCACGGGCACCGAGGCCACAGGAAGGAAGAGGATGAAGAAGAATCAGAGGAACACCACCAGCACAGTCCTCATGATGGACACCAAGGCCATGAAGAAGGTAGACATCACCGGACCCACGGCCACCAAGGCCATGGGAAAGACGACAATGAGGACATCTCAAAAGAACACCAACGCCATGGCCACAGACATGAAGGCCACAAAGAGGATAGTGATGATTATGATGCTGACTCTACTGAGAGTGGACACGAGACCCATGGGCACCAGAGCCATGTAGATGATGATGATGATGATGATGACGATGATGATGATGATGGTGGTGGTGATGAAGAAGACTCTATTGAGAATGGACACCAGGCCCACAGGCACCAAGGCCACAAAAACGATGATGATGATGATGATGATGATGATTCCACTGAGAACGGACACCAAGGCCACAGCAAGCACAGAGGCCATGAAGATGATGACGACATCTCAGAGGAACACCACCATCATGTCCCCAACCATGGGCCCCAAGGCCACAGAGATGATGATGAAGATGATGACGATGATATGTCCACTGAACATTGGCACCAGGCCCCCAGACACACCCATCATGGCCTCGGGGATGAGAGAGAAGAGGCAGAGGAAGAGGTGCCACGTGAGTTGAGCCGCCACATTGCAGGAAGCGAAGAGGAGGAGGAGGTCCCAGGGGAGGATGACCCAGAAGGCCCACGTCATCACCGCCACAGTGTCCCCAGGGACCAGGATGAGAGCATCTCTGCCGAGCTTGATCCCGAGGCCCCCAGCCATAGGCAACAAGACCACCAAGGTGAACGCACAGGGGCTGGGGCCAGCAGTCATTTGCAAGAGGTTGATTCAGAAGAGGAGGAGGGGAAGGAGGAAGACCACAGCTCTGAGGAGGAAGGTCATGAAAGTGCAGAACAGCAGGCCCAAGGAGCCCGCCATGGAAGCCTAGATAGGGATGCTGAGGAAGATGAGGAGGAAGGTCATGGTCTCCATGTGAGCCGGGAAGACGATGAAAATGAAGAGGAGGAGGAGGAGGAGGAAGAAGAGCGGGCTGAGATTAGGGCACCACTAAGCCAATATCATAAGACAGAGAAAGAGGAAGAGGAAGAGGAGGAGGGCCTGGAGGAAGATGAGCTCCCCTTCACCATCATCCCCAACCCCCTGGCTGGGAGGGAGGAGATTGGAGGCGGCTCCAGTGAGGAGGAGAGCGGAGAGGACACAGGTAAGTGACCTGGCTGGGGTGGGGGTGGGGAGGCATGCAGGCAGCCAGAGTCACACCACCCTCTGTCCCCACAGGTCCCCAGGACATGCAGGACTATGGGAACTACCAGCCAGGATCCCTGTGTGGCTACTGCTCCTTCTGCAACGTAGGTCCCCAGCCCAGCTCTTACACAAACAAGCTGTTCCTAGAAATTTGTCCCCTGGGGAGGCAGTGGAGGGGTGGGCTTTGAGCAAGGGGACAGCAGGGACACGTTTGGGTACAAATAGATACTTTGGGCACCAATTGGAAGCCAGAAGGTTGGGGTGATGATCCAGGAAGGGGAGGAAAAGATCTGAGTTCCACCTATGGCTGGAGGGATGGCTACCAGAATGGATAGTAGTCGTGGTTCAGGAGTGACAGGCTGTGGGGGAGAGTCAGGGACAGAGGTGATGAAGGCGCCACCACAGACACTGTGGGACTTAGGGTTGCACTGGGGGGAAGACGGAGCCCAGGGTGGGAGGCTAATGAGGGACAGGAGTCCGGGGGAATGTCGCCTGGGACATGGGTGGATTCCTGGGGTGAGGGGCTCTGTCTAACCAGGCTCCTCTGGTCCCCAGCGATGCACTGAATGTGAGAACTGTCACTGTGACGAGGAAAACATGGGTGAACACTGTGACCAGTGCCAGGTGAGACCTCACCTGGGCCCACACACTCAGGCCTCAGGATGGCCTGGGATCTTCTGCCCAACCCCTCCCACCAGCCCCAGCCCTAAATCATGACCTTTGATCGCAAACTAACCCAACCCCTACCATCTGATGCTTCCACACCCCATATGACCTTAACCTACACTTAGCCGGCAGTTCTGACCTGACTCCACCTCTGACTCTCTCCCCATGCCCGCCCCCCAGCACTGCCAGTTCTGCTACCTCTGCCCACTGGTCTGCGAAACGGTCTGCACTCCGGGTAAGCATGCGCAGCCCAAGAAACCCTGCTGGGGGCGGAGCCAAACAGGAACAGCGGGCCAGAAGACGGTGGGCGGGGCCTCTGTTGGAGGGCGTGGCCAAGAGCGTGGGCGGGGAGCCCGGGGAGGAGTGGTGTCTGAGGGGCGGTCCTAAAAGCCAGTGGGCGGGACCAAAGCAAGAAGATGTCGAGGGGGCGGGGTCACGGGAGAAAAGCATCCCAGGTCGCCTGTAGTTCAATTGGAGGCAGGAATTAAGACAAATGAGAACAGTAAACCCGCATTGAGCATCCCCTTAATATCTATCGCGCCCGGGCTACCCCTCAATCCTCGTCTCGGCTTTCCCACAGGAAGCTACGTGGACTACTTCTCCTCTTCCTTGTATCAGTAAGTGTTGGGGTATGAGGGGGGAAGAGACATGTTTAAGGGCCTCGTTTAAAGGAGAGCTGCCCAGCTGTGGGTTCTTGCATGACCCTTTGGACTCCCATTTTCTCACCCATGACCTGAGCAGCCTAAGGAGCTCTCAGAGTCTGGGGTGAGCGCCTGGAACTTGGTCTAACCTCAGTGTCCGTCCTCCACTCCAGAGTCCTGGCCGACATGCTAGAAACGCCCGAGCACTGATCTCGCCGCGGCTGCTGCGAGTTCGAGCCCGCCCTCCAGCCCCTTGACACCAGCCGTATTTATTTCTCCGAATAAACGGGCCCCCGAATCTCATGGATGTCAGGCGTGGGGTCGATTCTCAGGGCATGGTGGGGGGGAATGTGGGTGGAGGAAGGGGGCCTGAGTCCAAGGCTCGGCCTCAGACACCAAGAGCCAGGGACCCCTGGATCCTGAGAGTGGCTGGTTGGTTTGAGATCCCAACCCACACAAACGCACAGAACTCGGGAGCTTTTTGAAACAGTTCTCTTTACCCGTGATCACTGATTGACGCCTGGGGCCTGGGGGGCCGACTAAGAGTCGGGGGTGGGGGGGCGAGGGCTCCCCGCCGACCGCCCTCCACCCCATGCCATGTCGCCCAGTGGCATCTTGGAAAGAGGATTCTCCCATGCAAACCCCGGAGCCGGAGGGAAACCGGGGGGCGCACTTTGCACCCCCTACCCCTGGGGCACGGACACGGCCACAGCACGGGGGGGCGGGGAGGCCCCGGGGACACGAGACACGGGGGGGGAAGGGACCCCGCCAGCCCGCAGATGAACCCCCCCCCGGGACTGGGGACCTCACAGGGCGGGGTGGGGCGGGGCTAAGTGGCACAGGGGGCGAGGCTTGTAGCAGCGAGTCCCCCCCTCCCCTCCTTTCGGACGAAGAAGAAGGAAAACTTGGGCCCCGCGACTGGTCAGGAAAGAGGGGAAGGGGGCAGCCTCTCCCCGCATGCGGCCCGGGAGGGAAGCCCCGCCCCTTTCCGCAGGTGAAGGGCACCGGTCTCCTATCGGAAACTGATCAATAAATTACAAAGTAGAGAAAAGAGAGGCGGAAGTTTGGGGGCGGAATCGCTGCCTGCCCTCTTCTTTCCCTCCCTCAGTCCAGTTCATATGGTTTGGTCCAGGCCCAGTCCATTTGTGCGGCGGGGGACACGCACTCCCCCGCTTGTCTGTACAGATGATCCGGTCCGCGGCACCGGCTCCAGGACTCTTCTCCCTGGGCGAGACCATTCTCTGGGTAGGAGGGGGGATGGCCCAGTCTTCCATCCGAGTGCGGTCAACCTGCATTGACGCCGGTCAGTGCACCCACTAGTTAAGATCACGGGGGTGTCTCCCCGCACCCCAAGATCACCCAGTACAATCCTCACCTGGAGGCCTACACTAGCAGGAATAAGTCCGGACCGAAACGCCATCTGCCCGGGAACTTCCAGAAGTCTGGCCTGGAGAGAGAGTGAGCCCCGATTCAGACTGGCACGCGACCCCAGTGATTTCCCCCAGTGTTTCTGCGGGCTCTGGCCTCTACCTCCCTCGGACCAGGCTCTTCATCAGTTTTCTTTCCCTTCTCCCACCCTGGACAGGAGACATGGGAGAGAAAATGTAGAATATTGGAATTTTTTTGGAGGCGGGGGCAGGGGGGACCTGGAAGGTTGAGTCGCCCCGTTTCCCACCCAGAGCAAAGGGAAGGATCTCACTGTCCGCTTTTAGGACTTCCTTACCTTCCGGCTGCAGCTTTCGGAGAGGAAGCCCCGGCGATCCCAGGGCTCCTGCTGCCGCCGAACGAAAGTTGGGGGGCAACATCTCAGCCGAATCGGGGGTCACACCCCGGAGGTCCTTCTCTCGGAACATCTTCCGCCAGGACGGGGAGCGGCTGAAGGACTTGGCGCTGTCCTAGGTACAGCACCGGAGCCGACGGTGAAGGGAGGTGAACCCAGCTCTGACTCCGCCCCCTCCACAGACCACGCCCCGTGGGTGTCATCTCTTGGTCACGCCCACTTGCGTCAGTTCTGCCTTAGCCCCGCCCCTGGGCGTCAGCTCTCCTTCAGCCCCACCCCCTGTATATCAACTCTCCCCTGGCCCCGTCTCCTGGATGTCACTTCTCAGTTAGCTCCGCCCCTGCCCGGACTCAGCCTCCAACTACGATTGATTGGCAAGGCCAAGTCCCACCCCTTTTGCTCGGAAATCTGCAGTCGCACCCACCTCGTCCAGCCTTCTGTCAGTGCCTAAGGAGATGAGGTTGCTGAATTCCTTCTCCAGGAGCTGTCGAGCCTGGAGGGGAAGGTGAGGGAGGTTGAAGGGGGCGGTCCGAGTGGGCGACGCCCCGTGAGCTCGGGCCCCGCGGCGGCTCACCTGCGCGTTCTGCGTGGGGATCTGCAGGAGCAAGGCCAGGTCCGAGTAGTCGAAGGTCTCGTCCAGGGCAAGCAACGCCCCGTGTACCCCGCTCTCGGTGAGGTTCGTGGCGAATTCCTTCAGGCCCAGCCCTGACACCCAGCCCATGACCCGCTCGTTGGACCACACCATCACATCTGGGGATGGAAGGGCCCCTCATCAGCAGTGGTGTCCATACCCGGACCCCATGTCCTTCCCGGCCACGTCCCCGGCCGGCTCCCCGCCCCACGGACACACACGTTAATAACTGCACGCTTCTCTTCCCCACCCCACCCCCGTCTCTTTTGCCTCCGCCCTGCCTCGAGCTCCTCCACCTGGCTCCCACAGTGTCTCACCTCGGATCTGGGTCTGGCTCTCTTCCCGCCTCCGCTCTAGGTCCTTCCGGTCATAGTTGAGTCGTTTCAGGCACATGATTCCATAATGCAGACTCACCCTAGACAGCGGGAAAGTGGAGTCACAGAGGAGCCCACGCCCCAGTGGCTGCTGCTCTGATCGCCCCCCGCCCCCCATCGGCTGTTCCAGGCATCTGTATTGACCACTGCCCCCAAAGAGGGCGGGATGTTGCCAGTGGACAGCTTCTATTGGCTAACCTGGACCGGGACTGGAGCTAATGAGCCAAGCCGTGTTGGATATGAACTTTTCCAATGGACTTTCTTAGTGGATGGGTCGGAATTTTCTACTGTGTCAAAGATACTCCTAAGAATTTCCCATGGCCAGCCTCATTTGCTGAAGGCTGTCTAGCGGGTGGAGCTTCCCCTTGGACAGTCCCCCACACACACACCAGGCAGCTCCTACCTGTGGAAGCTGTCCACCATTTTGAGTTGGCCCCGGAGCTCCTTCTTGTTGAGGTGATCTAACATTCGGGCGTCCACAAGTGACTCCATGAAATAACTGCGGTACTGGGGCAGCCCCAGGCTGGGCAGCCAGTCGTTCCCCACCCACTCGTGGTTCATGTCGCCATATGCAAGGATCTGGGGCCATGGGCAGGTGAGGGAGGGGGTGTCAGGCCCTCCACCCCTTCCCATGTGTGGATGAAAGGAGTACCACCCAACCCCCCCCCCAACACAAGAGTCAGACAGTGACCCATCTGCTGGGACAAGAGACCAGCCCAAAGTGTCTCTGCCTTCATTAGGACAGAAGAGACTCAAACTGTGGCTCCTGAGTCTTCAGCTTCATCCTGCCACCAATATACTGGAATTGCCTTGGACCCCACCTGCTGAGATCCACATCTGTGTCTCCACAACTCCCAGTGACCTGACCTCTACAGTCAATGTGTGTGTGTGTGTGTGTGTGTTGTGAATGCATGTGTGCATGCTTGTGTGTACCAATACTGGGGCTTGAATTCAGGGCCTAGGCGCTGTCCCTTAGCTTTTACACTCAAGGCTAGTGTTCTACCCCTTGAGCTACACCCCCACTTTTGGCTTTTTGCTAGTTAACTGGAGATATGAGTGTTATGGACGTTCCTGCCCAGGCAGGATCCCGGCTTCCTGAGTAGCTAGGATTACAAGCGTGAGCTGCACCAGCACTCAATTTACATTCCATTTTGAGAAGCAGCCATTTAACTCTGCCCCAACTGAGTCCAGCATGCTTATTCTTCCTAGTCAGGGCAAATGAGTTCCTCTAATGTGATCTGGAAATGCTTGTGCTTCTAGAAAATAGAGCCTAATGCTGTACCTGGCCCAGGAGATAGTTCTGGATCTGCCCAAAGTCCCTCGCTCCCTGTAGCTTAAGGACACCCACATCGCCCCCTGGCTAAAGTCACAGGCCACAGACCAATATCCCACCTCCAGCTCAGATAAGCCCATATCTCCCCTTTCCTGAGAACAAAAGGGAGCTGGTTCTCCCCACTTTCTCATCCAACCTGAGGCCCCCCCCATCCATCATAAGCCCAGGTAAAACTGGAACCATGCAGCTGCCTGTGCCCCCCCATTTCCATCAACCATAACCAGACCGTTCAGCTTCTCCCCCCTATACCCCCCTGCCAGGCTGTCTGTGGACTAGGGGCTTCCACATAGGCCCCACCACACCCCAATGAGCCAGTCCAGAGATGAGATGGTGTTGTCCCTCACCACCAAGAAAATGATGGAATGTTCTGGCTGTCAAAGGAAGGGGCAGGGCTCAGAGAAGGAGGGACATCCATGCAGCATGCACAACCTGGTCATGCACCCCACCGTCCCACCCCGCGCCCCTACCTGCTCCCAGCTGATCTCCTTGGTCTCCTGACCCGTTAGTGGGAAGAGGGGAGAGAAGGGGGGGGTTAAGGGGCAGGCAAAGGAGGACGAGAGGGACAGACAGAGGATAGCCACAGACTCACAGCCCGCCTCCCCCCCCGGGAAGGGTTAGTGCCACCCCCAAGGCCACCAGCAGGGGGCACTCACGGGCTTCGTGGCTGCTGTAAGGGATTCCATCTCCTCGTGGGTCATCCATACGTTTCCTGTGGGCTGAGGCGTGGGAGATGTTAATGATGAAACAGACTATCAAGAGAGGAGGGGACCCCGAGCGGAGGGAGGCTCCAGGGATCCCAGCAATTCATTTATGAGCTGCTTTCTTGCCCACACCCCTCAGGTGACAGTGGGAAGGAGTGATCCTTTCTCAAGAGACAGAAGTCTCATCATTGCCTCTGGACACTCACCGTGCGAGAGGAGGCAGGCGCCGAGGGGGAAGTGAGGGAGACCATCTCCTGGATGGCGAGGCGCAGTTTGAGCCGGTGCAGGGGGTTGCTGATGCCAATCTCACGCTGGATCTCTGTGTCTGACAAGTTGGCCATGATAGCACCGCTCTTGACATTGGCACGGCAGGCAGCCACATACCATGCGGGCATGCCTACCCAGAGCTGAGGGCAGAGGGAAGGGTGGGGGGGGGGAGAGGACAGGATGCAGAGCAGACAGAACATGAAGGAGAGATGGAAGACACAAAGGAAGGGGGAGGGGGAGACAGATGACAAACAGGGGCGAGGCAGACACGGGGTGGAGAGGTACGAGGAGCAAAGGGAGAGAGAGCAAAGGAGGACAGAGATCCAGAGACACACCCAGATACCGGGAAAAACAGAAAGAGAAAATAGAGAGAGCCACACACACAGGCATGAAGAGACACAAAGAGAAAAAGGTCAGACCGGAAGTGGGGTGGGCAAGATTGGGGGGGGGGAGTGAAGAATCAGTTCCCATTGACAGGAGTCTGCCTCCTCTCCAATCAGAACCTCCCTACCCCTTCCCACCCCAACTCGGCTTGAAGTATGTTCCAGGCAGACCCAGCCAGCCTTTGGTGGGACTGTCACAGGACTGGGGTTCAATAAACATGTCATTTCTGGGCCCCAGTACCTCCAGCCAGGAGACCACAGTCGGTCCGTCCCAGGCAGCAAATGGCAGTCCCTGGCGACAAGCTTCTTCCAGAAGTTCATGCCTGGCAGGGAAGGGCAGGGGAGGGCATGACAGGGACAGAGACCTCAAGCATTTCCATGGATTCATTTTTAATTTTAATTTTATTTTTTTGGTTGTGGGTGCTGCCCCTGAGCTCTTTTACTCAAGGCTAGCACTCTACCGCTTTGAGCCACAGCACCACTTCCGGTTTTCTGGTGGTTTATTGGAGATAAGAGTTTCACAGACTTTCCTGCCGGGGCTGGCTTTGAACCGTGATCCTCAGATCTCAGCCTCCTCAGTAGCTAGGATGGCACCTGGCTCCCTGAGCTTTTTTTGCTCAAGGTTAGCACTCTACCACTTGAGCTACAGCACCACTTCCAGCTTTTTCTGTTCATGTGGTACTATGGAATTGAACCTAGGGCTTCATGCATGCTAGGCAAGCACTGCACCACTAAGCCACATTCCCAGCTCTCATTGTTGTTTTTGAGCCAGTACTACAGCTTAAAGTCAGGGCCTCACAACCTTTTGCTCAAGGCTGGAGCTTTACTACTTAAGCTACACCTCCACTTTTTTGGCTGGTTAATTGGAGATAAGAGTCTCACAGATTTGGGGCTGGGAAGGTGGCTCAGTGGTAGAGTGCTTGCCTTGCATGCCTGAGGCCCTGGGTTCCATTCCTCAGCACCACATAACGAAAAAAGCCGGAAGTGGTGCTGTGGCTCAAGTGATAGAGCGCTAGCCTTGAGCCCAGAGTTCAGGCCCCACCACTGGACCCAAAAAAAAAAAAAAAAAGAGTCTTGCAGATTTGTCTGGGCTAGATTTGAACCTCAATCCTCAGAGCTCAGCCTCCTCTGTAGCTAGGATTACAGGTTTGAGCTCCCGGTGGTTAGCTGTTTTACAGTTGCTTACTAATGTCTTCTGCAATCTCAGACCTCAATCCTCTTGTGTGTGCCTGCTTAGAAACTGGAATTGAGCCGGGCGCTGGTGGCTCACGCCTGTAATCCTAGCTACTCAGGACGCTGAGATCTGAGGATCGTGGTTCAAAGCCAGCTCCGGCAGGAGAGACCGTGAGACTCCTATCTCCAATAAACCACCAGAAAACCGGAAGTGGCGCTGTAGCTCAAG